AGCTAAGAAGAACTAGAATTATAAGCTTATAAAGTAAGCAAAAGTACCCTTAGACCTACTCTCTATAGATATTTATAGCAAATTCTTAGTAATAAAATATTAGGATAAAGAATACTTTTTTAAGGCAATTAATAACTATACTTAATACAGTATCATTTTTACTAGTGTTACTTAAGTAAATATTACTAAATAATTTTTTATATAAAAGAAAACTACAGAATTACAGACTAAGAGAAGACTTAAGATTATTTATATTAATAATATAAAGAAACTTAATTTAAGAGTCTAAATATAAGTAGACAAATCAGGTATAGAAATATAATCTATAACATTATATATATTAAGCCAAAATAGAACTATTAAATAGGCCTTATAATCTACTTAATCTATTATATAATTAATACTTGCTTATATTTAACTTTTAAAGAATTATTAAAATCTTATAGTTCTAATAGCCTCTTTTATTAAGAATAGGCTCTCTAATAATCCTAATCTAGAAAAGAAAGATAATAGTAAGCTTAAGCAATCCTTTAAGTAAGCTTAGTTTAAGAAAATTTCTTGGATTAATACTCTTTATGTCTTTAGCTCAAAGTATTTTATTTATATAAATAAGCCAGAAAACAAAGCAAGCTAATATAAAGAAGTAGACATCTTCCTTAGCTATACTAATACTACTTAATACTAAGTAAAAATAGTCAAATCTAGTATACTAAAGAGAGTAAATATAGCTCGCGTCTTAGTAAACGAAACTATACTTAGTAGTACTCTCTTCCTTAGCTTAACGAATAATAATAATCTAGATTCGTTAAGAATAAAAGAAGAATTAGAGAAATTACTAGATTTGTCTACTAAGAAGAATATAGAACTAGTAACGTTAAGCAGAGGATTTAGCTTGAGTAAAAGCATAAAGAATATTTAGAAAGGTCTAAAACTATCTAGTAGTATAGCTAAAAATATACAAAAGAATCTAAAACTGCCTAGCAGTTTAGAAACCCTTAATAAACCTTTATTATCTAATGCCTCTTAAGCTCTTAAGACATCTTTATAACTAGGTTTATACTTAAGCACAAAGGCAATAAGGGAATCAGACTTAGTAAGAGCTAACAACCCTACTAAAGACTAATTGCTTAAAGAGGTAAATAAAGTTAGCTATATATATATAGCTAAATTATTATCTAAAGCAGAAACCTCCTTAAGAATTATTATTAAGATTCCTCCTACTAGACTAAGGACTCTACAAGTTAAGGAACTTTCTCTTGCTGCTGCTACTCCTACCTTAAAGGCATCCAAACGTTATACTAAGAATAATATTAGTCTTAAGAATAATAAGAAAGCCCGGCTATCTTCAGAAGAATCTAAAGCTAATATAAAGAAAATTGTTTCTAAGATTAATATAATTATAACAGAAATAGCCTTTTAAATAAAAGTAATAGAAGCTAATTAGCTTTATAAAGTTAATAATTAAGTCTCTATTTCTATAAGCTATAACACTATTATTAATAATCTTGTTTATAAACAAAAGTAATAAGAAGTAATCTAAAAGGAACTTAATAGACTAATTAGTAATAGTACTTAGCAAAAGAAGAAACTTCCTAAGGACACTAATTAGGTTATTAGCAAGTAAGTCTTTATTATTAAGTATAATATTAATAGTAGCATTAAATATTATAAGGCTAGACTTATTACTTACAAGTTTAGCCTTATAATATTTAATGCTACTATTAATATTATACTTAATAATAAAGACTTACTTGCTAATAACCTAATTAGTGTCCTTAGGAAGTTTCTTCTTTTGCTAAGTACTATTACTAATTAGTCTATTAAGTTCCTTTTAGATTACTTCTTATTACTTTTGTTTATAAACAAGATTATTAATAATAGTGTTATAGCTTATAGAAATAGAGACTTAATTATTAACTTTATAAAGCTAATTAGCTTCTATTACTTTTATTTAAAAGGCTATTTCTGTTATAATTATATTAATCTTAGAAACAATTTTCTTTATATTAGCTTTAGCTTCTTCTGAAGATAGCCGGGCTTTCTTATTATTCTTAAGACTAATATTATTCTTAGTATAACGTTTGGATGCCTTTAAGGTAGGAGTAGCAGCAGCAAGAGAAAGTTCCTTAACTTGTAGAGTCCTTAGTCTAGTAGGAGGAATCTTAATAATAATTCTTAAGGAGGTTTCTGCTTTAGATAATAATTTAGCTATATATATATAGCTAACTTTATTTACCTCTTTAAGCAATTAGTCTTTAGTAGGGTTGTTAGCTCTTACTAAGTCTGATTCCCTTATTGCCTTTGTGCTTAAGTATAAACCTAGTTATAAAGATGTCTTAAGAGCTTAAGAGGCATTAGATAATAAAGGTTTATTAAGGGT